GATTTTTCCATCTTTCCTTGGCTTCTTTATGCACATTAATACAAATTTTTAGCTGGGGCCCAAACTTTCGATCCCCACTGTATATATAATTCCTAACTCTGGTGTTGTCAGATTTTCATCCTGCCTCTTCTTTCCAGACCTTCTTAAATCTTTTTAGGAACTCCATAGTTGATTCCTTGCTGCTCTGCTTACAAGCAACTGCTGTATCTAGTGACTGCTTATCTTTCCACAACCTCTGCATTTCTGCAGCCAACTCCATCCACATCTGTTCCCCGACATGGTAGTTCTCCACTCATATTCCACAGCCAGTTTAAATGGTTCATGAAGCTCATAAATACCAGCACGTTGGTCCAATCCCAACCTGATTCCATATCATATCCCAAAATTCCATCGATGATTATCCTAATGTGAACATTGTTGCCCCTGAGTTGCTCTTTTCAAGTAGTTAATGTCAGCAGTGGGGTTTTCCGAGGATCAGGACAACCCTTTATAATTCCATTAACGTCATTCATTTCCATTGGCTTAATCACCACATCACATCCCACAATGATGTAAGGGTAAGCTTGGGTGGCTCCCTCGTCGTCTTCTGTGTCTTTTCTGGATGTCATATGATACTTACCAAATTCTTCTGAATTATCCTGCTTTGGCCAACTCACCTCTTCTGCTGAATCTTCTGACATCTCACTTGCTGCGTCCCTCTCCTGTACTGTCTCATAAGCTCTTGTAACATGGATGTCTGTCCTCCTGATTTCATTGCCTTGCTTACTACCTTGCCTTTTTTACTTTTCTCCATCTTGGTCCTGGGCAACGGAGCAGTCAGTTTGCTGCATCTGGTCTAATGTCCTTCCCAATGTAACTTTTGTTTCTTTCCACTCTTTATTAATTTCACGCATTGATAAAACTTCAACCTGACTCTTCTTCCGAAGAATCTTCCCCATCACCACCGATCACTGCCAAATGGACTCCTTTATCAGTGAGAGACTCTTGGCTGGGGCAGAGTGTAAAGCAATGTCTCCTCCGATTATGTGACAACAAATAATCCTCATCCTTAGGGAGCGGAGTATACAGCTGAATATAATCAGGAAGAGCAGTGGCAGGCGTCAAAGTGCCATAAAAAGGATTATTACTGTGTTTAGCTACTGGGGCAGAAGGGATTGTGTCGGGTACTTATATCCTGGGCCATACTTCAACCAATTCAATGCTCCCCCTCTCATATATTTTCATATCCCACTCAGGATCTGGACCAAAATAGGAAAAGTCAGTTTTATATCCCCTAAACATATCCCCTTTATCATATCCATGTGAAAATCATCATTGTCCCCATCTCTGGGAAAAGGACTGGCACTCCCCATGGTTGAACTCCACCCCCACCAGACTGTCCACTCATGGGACAAGACAACAATCCCAAGGTGACACTCAGGCAACATACTCTTTACATGTCTCATTAGCTGGTAGTTTTGTGAGTTGGGATTTTTCTAGAGATGATCCGTCTTCCTTAGTAAATTTCTTTAACAGTTTTCTTCCTCTGATTACTTTACACGGTGGCTCCGGAGGTCTGGGTACTTCCCCTTACCTTGGGAGTTTCCCATCATCACTGCAAAGCAAAGAAGCAATATTATGTGAGCTGGCCTATGTGTTTTCTGTCCCGGTGATGACTCTTTGTGCCGGGTGAAGCTGGACTGAACTCACATAGAGCTCCGACAAAATTCTTCTCAACTGCACAAGTGCTTCAAGGCTGAAATCACCTGGACAGGTACACCCCTATTGTGACTCCTTCAGACTGTCACCATGCTTTCACCTATCCCAGGTCAATGGAGAAATCTCCTCGCTGAGTAATGGGGCGTCTCACAGTCCTACAGAGACTTAGAATACATCTACAGAACAGTTTCTCTAGTTACAAGCGTACATAATCACTGAACACACTACTCTGTATGATTGTATGGAGGACATACACACATTTCTTATATATCAACCTAGGTTCTGTTTAACCCCGCGAGCTCCCAAAGCTCCAGCAGACAATTGCTCATGCTCATGCTCCCGCAGTACAGAGGCTTGGTGGAGATAGGGGGCGCGATCAGGGCAAAGGAAGACAAAAAATGCTCACTTACCTCTGATGGCCAATCCTATCCCACTTCTGACACCACTTCTGTCAGGAACATCAATTTATGCCGGCCTCCTCCTCCATACAAACATCCAGTTCAAAGTACTTTGGGAATAATACAAGTCAGACATCTAGATGTGTGATGCAAAATGTGACTTCTTTATTATTCATCAAGCTTTAATTAATAAATGAGAATGCGGCATATTTCAGGTGGTTTCCATAAAGCACCAATCAGAATACATAATAGAGATTTCAGTAAACTACTCCATGTTGCGTCATAACAAAAATACAACAGGATAGTGACTTCTGTGATTTCTATAAACAAGAAATGTGTGCATAGATACCAGCATTCACATCCCACGGGAACATCTTGTATGTACAACAAACCAGTTAGTAGGCACAAAGCAAAAGTGAGTGAACTATTAACCCTTTCATATAGTAGGTGGAGCTAATTACTGATTCTTAGCGCCATCTAAAGGACAAATAGGGTTTTTTTTTAATTTAAAATTAATGATTGGTTTAATCCTGAGGTTTTATTCAATGTATGTTCATTAATAACCACTGTGCTCATAAATGTATGAGTGTGATCTATGGAATTTTTATGACACCACCCCTAACATAGTAAACTAAAAATACATTGGGGGAGCCGTGACAAATTCTGGCCATATTTTAATAAACACTGATTTCCTATAATCGTCAGCTCCAATTAGTGGCCATAGTGAGTGAGGTATTGGTTCCAAAAAAATGCCTCAATCAGCAAAAAACAGTTCAATACATTATGGCCACTAGATGGAGCCAATGATCATAGGAAATCACTGTATGAAAAGACCAACATGTGGCATGGCTGAATGAATGCTGGTTATATTAGTTCATCTATTATCTAAGTGGGTGGTAACTACTGGGTCAATCCCTTTTACAAACCACACATAATATCGCCCTTCAAAGTGAAAACAGAAACGATTTGCAGAAAATCAAAGAGTAGAAATATTTTCCGGTGGATCCCCTCTACCCAGACCCCATATGTAGACAATAAGGTGAAGGAAATGCGTATTTGCTCCCCTGCTGATGTTGAATGTTCGCCCCTCACAAAGAAATGATCGGTGTAAAAATTGAATGTTCGGTGTATTGTAACACTGAGAGACAGATGCATTTCTGCTGAATTTGTTGTTGCTATTCTAACAAATGATGACTGATCTGCATGTTCATGAGGGAAATAAGGATTTGATCCCCTTCACAAAAACATGACTTAGTACTTGGTGGCAAATCTCTTGTTGGCAATCACAGAGGTCAGACATTTCCTGGAGTTGGCCCCCAGGTTTGCACACATCTCAGGAGAGATTTTGGCCCACTCCTCTTGGCAGAGGTTTGGTGATTGATGTTTGGCAACTCAAACTTTCATCCCCCTTCACAGATTTTAAATCAAATTAGGGTCTGGAGACTGGCTAGGCCACTCCAGGACCTTAATGTGCTTCTTCTTGGTGCCGCTCCTTTGTTGCCTTGGCCATGTGTTTTGGGTCATTATCATGCTGGAACACACCATCCATGACCCCATATTCAATGCCTTGGCTGAGGGAAGAAGGTTCTCACCCAAGATTTGATGGTACATTGCCCAGTCAATCGTCCCTTTGATACGGTGCAGAAAGCAGAATTTTTCCACCCGCGTTTCACAGTTGGGATGGTGTTCTTGGGGTCATAGGCAGCATTTCTCCTCCTTCAAACACGGCGAGTTGAGTTGATGCCAAAGAGCTGGATTTTGGTCTCCTCTGACCACAACACTTTCCACCAGTCCTCCTCTGCATCATTCTGATGTTCAGTGGCAGACTTCAGATGGGCCTGGACATGGGCTTTCTTGAGCAGAGGGACCTTGCGGCTCTGCAGGATTTCAGTCCTTGTCGGCGTAGTGTGTTACCAATTGTTTTCTTGGTGACTGTGGTCCCAGCTGCCTGGAGATCATTGACAAGATCCTCCTCACGTGTAGTTCTGGGATGATTCCTCACTGTTCTCATGATCATTGACACTCCACGAGGTGAGATCTTGCATGGTGCACCAGACCTAGGGAGACTGACACTTGTTTTGTGTTTCTTCCATTTGTGAATGATTGCACCAACTGTTGTCACCTTCTCACCAAGCTGCTTGGCCATAGTTTGGTAGCCCAGTCCAGCCTTGTGTAGGTCTACCATCTTGTCCCTGACATCCTTGGACAGCTCTTTGCCATGGTGGAGAGTTTGGAATCTGATGGTTTGATTGCTCCTGTGGACAGGTGTCTTTTATACAGGTAACACAATGAGATTAGCAGCACTCCCTTTAAGAGACTGCTTCTAATCTCAGCTTGTTACCTGTATGAAAGACACCTGGGAGCCAGAAATCCTGCTGAATGATAGGGGATAAAATCCTACTTTCCCTCATGAACATGCAGATCAGTCATCATTTCTGCTGAATTTGTTGTTGTATTCTGTCTCTCAGTGTTACACCGAACATTCCATTGTTAGACCGATCATTTCTGTGTGTGAGGGGCGAACATTCACCATCAGGGGGGAGCAAATACACATTTCTTCACTGTAGGCTGCACCCCAATGAGAAGTCAGCCCAGTTCTCTAGGTCAGGACTCCATTTTTTATTCTTCACCTGCCATCAATGGCCAACCCGGTCCCACACTTCATCCATGTCTTTGGGGGCCTCTCATCTCCTTATCAACTGTTTTCTTCCATGATGAAGATCAGCCATGGAGTATATCTGAGGTGTATATCAGGGTGTGCTTCTTCCCTACATGAGAGCTGGGATGTCCAGCAACATTCATCTAGAAGACATTTCCCCACTCAAGGTACTAATACACCTCCAGGTTGTGTGGGACCCCTGATGTACAGGAAGACAGGACTTCAGTGAGGAACATTTCCCTCACTCAGAGACAAGAAAGTGATTTCTCCCCGTGTGAGACCTCTGATGTCTGTAAAGATTGGACTTCTGTGAAAAACCTTTTTCCACACTCAGAACAAGAATACGGCTTATCCCCCGTGTGAGATCTCTGATGTGTGTGAAGATAGGATTTCCATGAAAAACATTTCCCACACTCAGGACAGGAATATGGCTTTTCTCCTGTGTGAGATCTCTGATGTGTGTGAAGATTGGACTTCTGTGAAAAACATTTTCCCACACTCAGGACAAGAATACGGATTCTCCCCTGTGTGAGATCTTTCATGTGTGTGAAGATTGGATTTCCATGAAAAACATTTCCCACACTCAGGACAGGAAACATGGCTTTTTCTCCTGTGTGAGATCTCTGACGTGTGTGAAGATTGAACTTCTGTGAAAAACATTTCCCACACTCAGGACAGGAATACGGCTTCTCCCCGTGTGAGATCTCTGATGATCATGAAGAGTGGACTTCAGGGAAAAACATTTTCCACACTCAGGACAAGAATATGGCTTCTCCCCCGTGTGAGATCTCTGATGTCGATGAAGACTGAACTGCTGTGAAAAACATTTCCCACACTCAGCACAGGAATATGGTTTCTCCACCCCGTGTGAGATCTCTGATGTTGATGAAGTTTTGGACTTCACTGAAAAACATTTCCCCACACTCAGGACAGGAATATGGCTTTTCCCCTGTGTGAGATCTCTGATGTGTGTAAAGAATGGACTTCTGTGAAAAACATTTCCCGCACTCAGGACAGGAATATACGGCTTCTCTCCCCTGTGTGAGATCTTTTTCATGCACATTAAGATGTATGTAGAACAGTACCTCTTCCACACTCAGTACAGGAATACGGCTTCTCCCCCGTGTGAGATCTTTTATGCACATTAAGATAGGATTTGGAACAGGAAACCCTTCCCCTGCGTGTGATCATTTGAGCACTCAGTACAGGAGAATCTCTTCCCTGTTGGAAGGCCGGCCCGGTCCCGCACCAGTCTGAAGTTCCTCAGGATACCACGAGGAATCCCGATGGTCCATCTACACTGGGTGGTGCCGGATGGACATTGGAGGGAGCCGGGTTTTCTCCTGGACTATACTTGTGTGATGTCCTCATCTTCTACTTTCCAGTCTGGAGACAAAGTGAGACAATCCTCGGAGGTTTTCCCTCATCTCCCTGGCCATGGACTAAAATACAAAGACAAAGAGGAATACTAGACAGGAGCTGATTGGTTCCCCCAAACCAGGACTCCGCCCACATCAGGCAGCTTGGTCTCTGAGGAGCTTACAATTCCACCCTCAAGGGAACTAGGAAATGGCTCCTCCTGACCTCCTACCCAGGTCATTTCTTTTATTCATGGACCTTAGTCAGAGAGTGAGGAAACAACCAGAACTGTCTTTTATAGGAGGGACAGTGATGAGGGGGATTATAGGACGAGGGTCCCCACCCCCTCTATCATGCACTCATCACCATCTTCCCAACACAAGAAATACTGCACTTCCTTATTTACCCGGCATGATTTAGTCATGAAGAAAAGCGGGGCAGAGCCCCACCATGAGGTCAGAGAGTGAGGATGGGGGGAGAACAACCAAGATGAAGAGACTGGAACTGATCCCTGAAGATACCACCCATCATTGGGGTATTGACCACCTCCCTCATTATCACTTTCTGTTTAAGGGTCCAAAGTTGAGAGGATGTTATCACATTATTATCACCATGTAAAAGTCTGTGCTCCCCCCAATCACATCATCCCGATATATAATGTCCAGCTGGGAGGAATATGGGTGTAACAAAACGAGAATCCACTGCCTCAATTATTCCGTGTGCAGTGTCCGGGAGTAAGAGCAGAAGTCAGGAGACTAATGGGAAATGCACAACATAGAGTAATATCCCTAGTGCAGGGTGTCGCAGTGAGGATGTAAAGTAAATGTAGCAACATGAGAGTATATAGTGCAGGGGGGTCAGAAGAATAAAATTGCTAGAACAAAGTGACCAGGTATTATACAGGCTAGAGATCATGCCGGTCCCCACCCTACTCTATCACTGGAGCCAACCATCAGTGAGCAGTAAGGGTGGAGGGAATCTATTTAGTTTCACACCAAGGGTCCACCTGTGTCTGATCTCCCAACAGTAGGAGTGTCCTCCTCTATAAATGGTCATCCGTTATTCATCCTCCTCCATAGACTGCTGATCATGCACTGCACATACGCCTCTTCTTCTTCTGCTTATCACCTCAAATTCTATATCGATTGTCTCCAGCTCTAAATCAAGGAAATGACCAAATATCATCTGTAAAATATAAGATTTATGATTGTGACATCACACACAAAAATCCACACATTGTCTGCTTACTCACAAAGCAGATCCATGTTCTTGATGGGTACATTTTCCCCTAAACCTTAACCAGCAATGCCAGGGGGTGTCCATTTCCTTCCTGTGTTTTTATGTGGAATCCATTAAGATGATCCGTGACACAAGGACACTTGGAACACTTTGACTCAGTAAATTCCGCCCTGTAGCTGGGCTTCCAGCAATGGGTCACAGAAGGATAAAAATGGAAATGCAGTTCACCATTTAACCCCCAGCTGGTGGGAGATCCATGCGGCATGACCAGGAAATGTGTACTGCTTGGTAAAGAGTGGGCCCGCTGGCATCCATTTTAACCATAACCAACATGAGATTCTCTTTTCCAAGCTCGAATATAGTAAATACAAAATGCTAGATCAATAGGGGAAACGTAAGCAGAATAATGTAAAAATATCCTAATGATACTAGTGCCCAGTGGTTGTTTTCGTTCTGTCACCTCGGGTCTACTATGATGGATTAATGAGTTGAGACCCCTTATCAAAAAATTAGAATAACAATACATAGAGTTTCTTTCACATCAGCTCCTTCTGGTGGTTCCCCAGGACTGGATGTCCATCTGTAGGAAACAAAAGAGTTTCACCATAGTTGCATTCCATAGTTTTATGTGCTTACATAACAGTATAACTCTATGGGCAGGTGGTTTGCTCCCTGAGCAATGGTCATGTTAATACAATAAAGTTATCAAAATGAGTTGATTATATGCAGTGACTACAACATAAGTCATTTAGTGCAAGGTGTCGTTTAGATACTAATACCCCATGTTCACAATGTGAATAGTGCAGGTACATAGAGACCCCTAAAACTTACCACCCAAAGAATTACTGTGGCTAAAATACAGCAGGCAATTTCCCCCCTTGACAATGTACAACGAGTTAAACTATGCAGGTAAAACTAAAGCAAACCCCCCCTACCCGTTTTAAAGGGATCCATCATAGGAGTATTACGTGCATGTTCACCGAGAATGTACATCAAAAGACTATTCTCATTAGCATTCCTTACATGAAGTCTCCAGGTTTCTATCTCTGCTGCCTCCTGACCAAATATACTCTATTTTAAAATTGCCACCCATGTTCAATTCACCACCCCCCAATTCATTTCTTCAAGACCATATAGGCATTCTGGGTATCCTTAGTTGACCCCCATGTCGGCTCCCCGCCCCAAGAGGGCCAGGCCATATAGATGTCAAGGGCCTTCAGGGGTCCTAATTTATTTATATAGTGCACCGAGGCAGGTGTATTTAAAGCGACAATAATAGACCCCCCATTTTGCAGGTTTCCCTTTCCCCATTTAACTGAGTAAACTAATGTACAAATCAGTGAGTATTAGTGATTGTCCAGATTAATTATCACATAGAGTATATAGTCTTGCTCCAATATTGTTATTGTTCCAACAAAATGTCCAGCTTCAAAGGGGTAACAAACGAGAATCCATATTATGTACATATATAGCAGTGGGGGGGGGGGGAGAGCAGGTTCCAGGAGTATGGAACTGTACAACATAGAGTATATAGTGCAGGGGTCAGGAGTATGTAATGTACAACAGAGTATATAGTGCAGGGGTCAGGAGTATGTAATGTACAACAGAGTATATAGTGCAGGGTCAGGAGTATGTAATGTACAACATAGAGTATATAGTGCAGGGGATCAGGAGTATGTAATGTACAAAACATAGAGTATATATAGCAGGGTTTGGAGTATGTAATGTCAGGAGACATATACAGTGTTATGGTCATAATGGTATTCAGTAATCAGTGGAATATATAAATGTTTACTGTAGACAAGTTGCAGAGATCCCACACCGCTGCCTCCCATTCATCCTGAGACTGCACTCAGTGACTTGGGTCTGAGACACATACAGACATATCCCTCCACCCGGCACAGCCAGCAGACCACAGAGCAAGGAACCCTGGGAGAATTGTTCTGTCAGAGATCAAATTGCTAGACCCCATGGGAACAAAAGACCAAGTATACACACCCCATGCTAGGTCTAGTTAAGCAACACTAATGGTGAAATGAACATTTTTCTGCCAGCTGAACCCCATGAACCTCCATAAATCCAGTCTAGAGACATAAATTGTGTCTGCAGCACAGAGAAGGAAGATTATCCGAGAGAAATCCAGGAATACAGGACGGGGAACACAGCTCAGGAAAGTGACCAGGGGATTACAGGCTGATATCACCCAGTCCCCGCCCTACTTCTGGACCAATCAGTGAGCAGTATGGGTGGAGGAATGGATTTAGTGTTCATGACCCACCTGTGCTGATCTCTGTAGGAGTGTCCTCCTCTATAAATGTCCCCGTTATTCCATCCTCCTCCATAGACTGCTGATCATCCCCTCACATACGCCTCTTCTTCTTCTGCTTTCACCTCAAATTCTATATCGATTGGATCTCCACTCTAAATCAAGGAAATGAGAGAAAATATCATCTGTAAAATGTAAGATTTATGAGTTGTGACATCACACACCACTAATCCACTACATTGTCTCCCTTCACAGAAGCAGATCACTTGTGATATGTGGGTACATTTCCCCTAAATACCGCATGCCATCCTGAAACAGTCCATTTCCATCCCTGTGTTCACTTCCTATTAGACCATATCCTTGTGTCCTTCTGAAAACACCTCCATCACTCCATACAGTAAATCCCGCTTGATACAGGCGTTACATTCACAGAAGGAAATAAAAATCCATGCATGCTGATTAAGATTCCATGCACATACTGCAGGTCCCCCTTACCTGAAGTACCTTGGAACATTCCATGCAGGACATGTGTACAGGTGAGGGTAATCCTCCCTTGTGGGACCATCCCTTAATCCTGGGGTCACCGGGGCCCTAAACAACATGGTTGTTAGGGAGCGAGCGCCGCTGCAGTCCTAAATTACCAACCGATAAATCTGAAAAAAAAATTACCCCAATGAACAAAATATTAGAAAATGGCGTGGGGTTTTTGACCCCCCTCACCCCTCCCCCCCCCCCCTTGCCAAAATGAAAGAAATACAAATACCCCCCCCCTATCAAAAATGAGCCCCACCAAACCAGGTCAGGAACCAAAGATGACCAAGCCCCCCCCCCCCCCCCATACCACAACCCCCCCCCCCCACCCCCCCCCCCCCCCATGGAACATGCCCCCCCCCCCCAAACCCCCCCACCCCCCCCCCCCCCCCCCCCCCCCCCCCCCCCCCCCCCCAACACCCACCCCCCCCCAAAAGCCCCCCCCCCCCCCCCCCCACCCAAAACCCCCAAAAAGGACCCCCCCCCCCCCCCCCCCCCAACAACCCCCCCCACCCCACCCATACCCCAGTATGGGTGGACCTACCCCCCCCCCCATTGACAAGCCCCCCACCCACCCATGTTGATTTTCCCAGTCCACACCCCCCCCCAAACCCCCCCCCCCCCCCCTGGTGAGGTACCCCCCCCCCACCCCTGCCCATCATTGCAATAAAAGATAATCATCCTGAGGGGTTTGACAACATGTTACTGGTGTTTCTCCGCACATGAAAGGCCTCCCTGTATTGGTGATCT